CCGTGGCTGGCAGCCTTGTAAAGGTGGTAGTAATGATGACCGAACTCTCAGCTAAATTTAGTGACTGTGTGACTTCCAGGACACCAGTTTGTCGTAATGGAAGATATTGTTCTGCCGACTCCGTTGTGAGTTCCGCATTCAATCGAATATCTTGCTTAAGTGAATGCAATCCGAAATCGAGTTGTGTGAAATGCATCAACTGCATTTCCGGTCTGACATTTATATTTGCCGCTTCGTTCGGACATAAACGACAAGACTCACCCGAACCGCATTGAGTTGCTTGGTGCACAAGCAATGAGTCAGTGAGTGGTTTACTGGGTGCAGAAAATGCACACAATTCTCGATAAGGTTCCGAACTGGGTGGTCGCATTTTTGGGATAGGCGAGAAACGACAATAGCATACATTCTCTGACAAATAAGACGGTTGTGTTGCCTCATAAGTAGTTNAAATCATCAATAGGAGAAAGTGGTTCACCATCTGTTGTACAATTGATTACTAACGTCAAGTTGATAGCCACTGACATGTCACCTACTGATGTTGTAACTGATTGATTCAACGAACCCGGACAATTAGGTGTTTCATGTAAATTGGTGGAAAACAGAGGTAAACACATGCCTCCACTACCAGTAGAAGCACCACCTCCACCAACACAACAACAACAATTGCATGGAATGGGAAACGGGTTAGTTGGAGTGGTAGTACAAACGTTGGACTGGATGGGTCCAGATGTTTGTGACTGAAAACTGTTAGCATTGGGGTGAAAACGTGTTGCACGTGATGTGTTTACCACGATCATTGGTGCAGTACCTTCAATAAACCTGACATCTGTCGAACCTGATTCACTTCTTACTCGAGGAGATTGATTGCCCGACCTTGAATTAGAATAACCATAGTCCTCGTTCTTGTCACAATTGTACGATTCGTTTGTATCAGTCATGCATGACTGCTCTGGTTGTTGATCAAAAGCAAGATTGATAAACGTTTGAGACGGTATCCCTATATAGCGTTGTTCATCCAGAATGGGCATTGCTTCAAATGGATCTGTTGAAAACGGACTGAGCTGTTGATTATCCATAGCCCTCGTAAATATAGTTTCACAATAGTTGATTGTTTTATGAAGGTAGCGTTGTTTGATGCTCTTGTCTGAACAGCATCCACATAGCCCATGTGAATCGGTTCAAGGTCGTTTAATTAAGTATAAAGTCGATTGCCGAATCCCCCTATGGGATCATTCTGGTCCACTCACGATCGATAACGTAAAGGACTAATTTAAAATTTTCAGCATCGCGTTCTTTTATGTGCACTAAATGTGGATGGAATAAGTTTGTTTAGTGAATCGAATGGACTGCTCTGAATGTGACAATATCGTGTATGCAGTGTGATAAAGGATACATATGAGAAGAACGGCGAATAAACCATACGTTTGTGTCAATCCCAACTATATGTCCAGTTGATCTATCAAATTTTACACTATTTGGGATTTTCTTCTCAGCATTATACTATCGATGTTCAAATGCCCGATACCCGGATCATGGTCGATGCCAGAATATAAGAATCATTTAAAATATTCGCAACGCTACGACTTCCCAAGAACAATATTTTATTCCAGTTTTCTGAGTAACATTGGTCACTTCACTTCGAGTTTCGGTAAATGGAATTTTCCTACACGGACAGATATATATTGGGGTTTCAGAAATACGACTTAAGCAGGTTGAAGGGATGCATCGGACACAATAATGCAATCCAGTTTTTAAAAGGATTCGGGCAACCAAAAATGATACTGGGCGAATTCCAGAGTCTGGATATATCTGAGTTAGAAGATAATATACATGGAAATTTTGTACAGTCTAATACAAATGCGTATAGTTCAGATGACGAACATGAAGATAGCATAGTCTCCGAAGAACGAATTATGGAAAGGTATAAAAAATCCCATAGTCTTTGCAAGGGTCACATTATGAGTCATCGAGTGCGCGTATCTCTGGGATCGACACCTCCCGATTTCCATACCCGAGTCGTGCTACCGTGGGCGGAAATATTAAGTGATACTTCTGTCACCGAACAGATTTTAAATCCGCTTACTTACACCGTACCCGATCCCAGCGAACTGGACTGTGACACTTCGTCCACAACGATTTTCCTGTGGTCCGATGACGAACCTCTCGATGAGGCGGATGGTACAAAATCAGCAACAAATCATTGTTATCCGCATCACTATCATCAGCAATATCATCCCAAGACGGTGGTAGATACGAATCAAAGCCAAAATTCGGTTAAAAGGCCACG